GGAGGGGAAAGAAATTGACAGGGTGGGGGGGGGGAATTGACAGGGAGGGAGGGGGAATGAGAGTGGGGAGGGGAGAAGAAAGCGACAACGGGGAGAAGAGAGTGACAAGGGAGGGGGGAGAAGAGAGGGACAAGCAGGGGAGAAGAGAGTGACAAGGGAGGGGGGAGAAGAGAGGGACAAGCAGGGGAGAAGAGAGTGACAAGGGAGGGGGGAGAAGAGAGGGACAAGGGGGGGAGAAGAGAGTGACAAGGGAGGAGAGGGGGGAGAAGAGATTGACATCCATCACACACACACACAATGCACCCCTTACACACAAAGATAATGCACACCTTGCACACAGAAAAACACACAATACATTACACACAGACACACACACAAGCAATGCAACCCTTACACACAATGCATCTTACACACACAGAAACACACAATGCATTCCTTACACACACTCAATACACCCCTTACACACACTCAATGCACCCCTTACAGGTGCACACACTGCATCCCGTACATACACAGAAACACACCTTGCAGCCCTTACACATACAAACACAGATTCACACAATACATTCCTTACACACATATCAGGACACCCCCCTACTCCACCCCCTGTGAACAAACTCATTGGTGGAACATGAAGGTGGACCCTGGGACCCAGACCTTGAGCTGTGTAAAGGGCCTTAAAAAATGGAGCTGCCTCCCGTTCTCCCAGAACATTGATTTTTGTGACCACAGTTACAACCAGCCTCCAGAGAGCCTGTTCTGCACCAGACCAGTGGAGCCAGACTGCAGCTAGAGCCCATCATCATCCTCATCTGGTTGTAAGTAGGCAATCTAGTATATTATTCGTGGCACTAATCTCTAGTCCCCAGAACCACTTCAGCTTAATGTAGTGGTTCTGGTGTCCGTAGCCTGTCCCTGCAGGCCTTTTAATGTAAACACGGCGTCACTGCAGCACTGGCGTTAGTTAACATGGCAGATCACATGGGTGGGGCATTGTGATATCACATGGGGGGGGCAAACTTTACTTTTGCCTAGAGCGGCAAAAATTCTTGCACCGGCCCTGGGGACACCCCTTACCTGACTCCAGATCGCGTGAGGTCAGCATCAGAATGATTTCCACTTCCGGGTCATCCAGACGCCATTTTACCTGATTACTCCATGAGGTTTTCTTTCTTTATTTAACATTAAAAACAACAACAACAAAAAAAAGAACTCATTATACATTATACAATCTTTAACATGCATTTAACAGAAATGTTACCTATAAGATTGCATTTAAGCTCTAATATCGCTATTTTGAGTTATTCATCAATACAAATTTTTACACAAAAACAAAACAAAACAAAAACCAAGAATAAAATAATTAAATACACTCTCCCCCCCTCCGCCTCTCTATCTACCTATGCCCTTCCTGTTCGTATAAACCTTCCAGGGTTCCCAGACCTTACCAAACATATGATAAGAATGTCTTACTCTAGATGATAATTCATCCATTATATAATTTTCTTGAATCTTTAATTCCACCTCTCTCATTGATGGTAAATCTAGATTTATCCAGCTAGCGGCTATACATCTACATGCGGCCAATAAAATTAAAAATATAAATTTCTGCGAATGGCAGGATATACCTGCTATTGATTTCGATAGCAGAAATATCCAAGGATTGAGTTCTATGTTTCCCTGTATTATCGCTTGAATTAGCTCCCTTATTTCCTCCCAATAGCTTTTAATCTTTGGGCAATCCCACCACATGTGTAAATATGTCCCTTGTAGGCCACATCCCCTCCAGCAAAGATCTGTCAGATTTTTTTTAATTGAAAAGTTTTTTATTGTTTTCTCAAAGCATCGGAAAAGAAAAAGGGGGGTGGGGAAAGGGGTACAGAAGGAAAAAGGGAGGGGGGGGATAAACAGTGTATTGTTACATAGCATAGAGCACAACAATTGCGGCGCATGGTCTGTTCATCCATAACATTTATACTTGACAGGTACATTTTCCTTCACTGATTGATTTGTAGGTTTGGTAGTTTCTAAGGGAAGGGGGAGAAGGGGGTAGGCTGCGTACAGCAGAATCTGTACCCGTAACCCGTGTGGTGAGGATTGGGGATACAAGGGAGTGGGGGGGGGGCCTTTCAGGCCGCCAGGTAATGCCGTCTTGTGTGTTCTAATGGGCTAGGGGCTCGTCCGCTATAACTCAGTGCATATGCCGCATTGGTTTCCAAACCAAGCTATATAATTACCTGCCTACATCATACTTGCTTATTTTGGTGGGCATGCGTGATTTAGGCATTTAAATCAATCCATGGTTTCCACGTGTCCCTAAATTTTTGTGTTTCTATACTATTTGTCATTGTCATGCTTTCGTAAATGTGGTATTGTTGTATCTTATCCCAAAGTTGGGTTTTAGAAGGGCAAATGTCTGATTTCCAATTAATGGCCAGTAGGTTCCTGGCAGCCAATAATACTATGGCACACTTCTGTTTCTGCGCCTTAGTGAGATTGTTGGGGAATAGGAGCAATAGGTACGTTTGTGGAGTTTTAGGTAGGGTCGGTATATCCAGTTTGAGTAGTGTGTTGCGGACCTCTGCCCATAAGGGTTGAATTCCCAGACAAGACCACCAAATATGTAACAATGAACCTACTTCCCGTGAGCACCTCCAACACATAGGGGAGACTGTGGGATATATTCTGTGAAGTTTCTGTGGGGTCATGTACCACCTGTATAATAATTTTCTGTGTGCTTCTATATGTGTGTAACACTTTGTGAGTTTAGATAAGTCGTTGGCAGCTCGTACCCAGTCTGCGTCGGGTATCTCTAGGGAGCAATCGGCTTCCCATCTCGTTTTGCATAACGGGGTTTGGTTTGGTTGTGTGTCATTCCACATCCTATAGCATAGGGATATGGCTTTTTGTTTACTAGGTGTGGTCCAGCACCTGTTGAGGATGGTTATCGTTGTTACTAGTGTGTCTTGAGGTTTGGTGTGGTGTAACTGTACATGTGTCATTATGATTCCCTTGATTCTTAGGTAGGTGAATAGTTCTTTGGATGGCAATTGCCATTTAGTTTGTAGGTCCATGAATTGTACTACCTTACTGTTGTCTACAATTTGGTGAATATGGGTAATTCCTGCATTGCTCCACTTCGTTAGTGGAAGGTTGGGGGATATGGCCTTTAGGGCTGTTAGTGGGGCCTGGGCATGGAAGACAGTTTTGCAGTCTTGTGCGTGCATAAATTTATCCCATACTTTAATCGTATATGTTGTGGTGGGGAACAACCTGAGTTTAGGAGGTCTGAGATGTTTGGGTGTCCACATCAAGTCTATTAAGTTGTATTCCGGTATTTGTGTCTTTTCCATGTCTACCCATTGAAGTTCTCCGGCCGGTGAGTGTAAAAGTATGCCCGTTGCCAGTGCTGTTGCTTTGTAGTACTGGTGGATATTTGGGAGGCCTGTTCCTCCTTTTGTGATGTGTGTGTGTAGTAGTGTGCTGGGTACTCTGGGTTTTTTATTGCCCCAAATAAATGAGTTGCATGTTGTTTGTAGCGTCTTAAGAATGGTTTGTGAAACTCCAATGGGCAGCATCCGAAACACGTACAATATTTTGGGTAAAATAGTCATTTTATATGCATTGATTCTCCCTAGCCAGGACAGGTGCTTTTGTGACCATTTTGACATTTCTGTTTTGCATTGTTGTGGTAGTGTCTGGTAATTGTGTTTTATTATTGCAGCAATGGACGTCCCTATTTTTATGCCTAGATACGTAAGGGAGGTGGACCTCCAGTCGAATTGATATTCATCTTTCATACTTTGTTGTTTCTCTCGTGGCATGTGTAATGGTAATGCTTGGGTCTTATCTTGGTTGAGTTTGTAGTGGGATACCTGACCAAATTCCTGGAGAGTGTGCATGAGGTGCGGGAGGGAGTGTTCTGGGTTTTCCAATGACACCAGTACGTCGTCTGCGAACAGCGACAGTTTGTGTTCTTTGCCTAGTACCTCGATCCCTTTAATATTCGGATGTGTTCGTATTTTTAGTGCTAGTGGTTCCAACGAGAGGATGTATAGGAGGGGGGACAGAGGGCACCCTTGGCGTGTTCCATTAGTGATGGGGAATTTGTCTGAGATGAACCCCCCGTTTGATACCCTGGCCGCTGGGCTACTGTAAAGTGCATTTATACCTTTGATCGTCTCGTCCGGGAAGCCGTATTTTCCCAGTACTTTCGACATGTATGCCCAGTTTAGGCGGTCGAAGGCCTTCTCCGCATCTAGTGCTAGGAGAAGGCCCTCGGTCGCCCGTCCCTCCGTTGCTGCTAGTATGGTCAGTATCTTACGGGTGTTGTCCGAGCCTTGACGACCTCGGATGAATCCGGACTGGTCGTTATGTACCAGTTGGCTAAGGATTGGGGCCAGTCTGTTGCTCAGGATTTTAGCGTATATTTTGGCATCGCTATTTAATAAAGATATGGGTCTAAAATTTTTGCATATTGTAGGTGATTTTCCAGGTTTAGGCAGAGTGGAGATATGCGCCAGGAGTGTTTCAGTGGGGAGAGCTCCCTGCTCTGCGCATTGTTGGTACAACGTGAGTAAGTGTGGGGCGAGATTGTGTGTGAACGTTTTATAATACTTATTGGTAAGACCATCTGGGCCTGGGGCTTTGTTCGATGGTAGGTTTGTTATAACCTGCTCAATTTCAGTTAGTGTTATGGGTTGTTGCAGGGACAGTTTTGCGGTTGGTGTAAGGGAGGGTAGGTGTATGTCGGCCAGGAACCTGTCAATGTCTGCTGAGGTGGGTACGTTGGTAGTTTGGTCTTCTTTGAGATTATACAATTTATGGTAATACTCTGCGAACGTGTTAACGATTGTACGAGGGTCAATTATTTTTTGACCTTTGTTTCCTTTGAGGTAGGCAATCCTGGAGGCGTATGTTTTTTGTTTAAGCTGAGCTGCTAGCGTAGCTCCAGCTTTGTTTCCTGACATGAAGAATTTATGTTTAAATTTTTGTAAAAAATATGTGGTTTTAGCCAGTTCGATATCTCTTAGTTTAGTTTGTAATTGCAGCAATTTGTGATGTGTGTCCTTGGTGGGTGAGTGTTTGTTCTTATGTGTCAGGGATTTAATTTCGGTCATGAGAGTCATGTATTGTGCTCGTCGGGAACGTTGGATTTGGGTTGCGTGTTTAATGAAACTGCCCCTAATAACTGCTTTGTGTGCTAGCCAGGTATAGGTAGGATTTATGTCTGTCCTGGTGTTGTCCGCAAAGTAATTTTGAAGGTCTGATTTGATCTGATCCACTACTTGTGGGTTGGCGAGTAGGGATTCATTTAGTCTCCAGGTGGTCTGGCTGTTGGTGGGGAATCTGTCCTCCAGTGTCATCGTTATAGGGGCGTGGTCTGACCATGTAATAGTGCCAATTTCTGTGTGTAATACTTTCGGTAGGGACGTTGCTTTAATTAGAAACCTGTCGATTCGTGAGTAGCTATTGTGTGCATGGGTATGGCATGTATAGTCCACGTCTGTGGGATGTGTCATCCTCCAGGGGTCTACATAGTCATGAGTGTTTAAGGTGTTACAGATTCGCTGTGACTGTATGTGCCGTCGTTTAGATGTTGTGTGTGATACAGTTTCCGAGGTAGAGGAATCTTTGGTACTATCTAGGAGAAAATTGGTATCACCTCCAAGTATTACCTCTCCAAAACTATACACTTTCAGCAATGCAAATACATGTGATAGAAAAGGTTCTTGGTTTTCATTGGGCCCGTAGATGTTCATTAATGTAAAGGGGCTGTTATTTATATGGCATTGGAGAATGAGGTACCTGCCTTTACTGTCACTAATTTTGCGCACTAGTTCAAATGTAAGAGATTTGCTCACTAGGATAGAGACTCCTCTCTTCTTTTTGGCGTAGCAAGAGTGGTAGTCTGTTGGGTACCAGCGTGAGTTGAACCTGGGTTGGGAGCCCCATTTAAAGTGGGTTTCCTGAAAGAAGGCTATTTGCGCCTTCTGTTTTCTGGCCTCTAGCAGTGCCAGTCGCCGTTTATTTGGCGAGTTTAAGCCCTTCGTGTTGAGGGACAGTATTGTAAGCGGCATTTTGCCAGTAAAGATGGGTGAGTGAGTTTGGAAGATTATCCTCTAGTTCAGTGGTATCACTTTGGTTCAGGTTATGTTATCTCTGGGTATTGATCAAAGGGTGATGGGTAGGAATGGGTGGGGGGTAGAACAAGAACTATATACAAATCCTGTTAGCCAAATGGCACAGTGCAGTGGTCTGCAAACAGGTATGATGTGGCTCTTAGTGTAAGCCTTACGGGGGGTTGTAGGCGGTAGTACAGATGTTTCTAAGCGGTTTATGGGAATTATGTTCTACCACAGGTATATGTTAATCAGAATAACTGAGTGTGTAAAGAAGCAACTACCTGCTCGGACTTCTCCTGTGGTCTGACCACTGAGGTGGTTATCAAACAATTTAACAAAACTACCTAAGTAGCATCCGCCTATTGTGGGCTCACGGCTGTGGACACATTGTAGGTGAAGACAGCCGCGGGTCACTTAGGGGGGTTGGTATGCAAACAGTCTCAATATAGCATGCTGGAATACATATCTGGGAGACTTCATTGGTGGTCTGTAGGCTTGTTCTTAGGCGAGCCGGTAGGCATCCTGTCCGGAACTCTCGTGTTCATCTCGTGCCAGGGGACATTATGCCAGTCTCTATTAAGTTTCCTAGGCGGTGAGGCTGTGGGTGATCTGGGGTTGGGTGGTTGGTGGATAGGTATGTCCCATTCTTTAAGCAGCCGTATGCCATCTTGTGGTGTGAAGATAATTCGGTCTGCTCCATTTCTTTTAAGTATGAGCTTCGCCGGGAATCCCCACTTGTAAGGTATGGCGGCGTCGCGGAGTGCTGTGGTGATGGGAGCGAATGACCTCCTCTTGGACATCGTCGTAGCAGAGAGATCTATAAATAATTTGATGTCTGTGTATGGAGCTGGAAGTGGAGTAGCGGCTCTGGAGGCCTGCATTAGTTGTTCTTTCACTGTGTAGAAGTGTACCCTCGTGATAACATCTCTCGGGGTTGAGGGTGATAGGTGTCTGGGTTTAGGCAACCGGTGAGTGCGGTCTAGGCGGAGGTCCGAGGCCTCTAGCGTAGGGATCAGTGCTCCGAACATGTTTTGGACAAACGTAGGTAGCTCTTGTGTACTTATGCTTTCGGGCACTCCTCTCAGTCTTATATTGTTCCGCCGGTCCCTGTCCTCGTTATCTGCTATCTTACCCTCTAGGTAAGACACTTTCTGTTGCAGTGTAGTGTGTGCCTCTGCTAACACGTTATGTGCTTCCAGCATCCCGTCTGTTTTCTCCTCTAGGTGTGCAGTCCTGTCTCCTAGGGCCTGTATGTCTGCCCTGATATCGGACGCCATTTTGGAGAAATCTGATTTCAGGCTGGTTTGTAATGATCGCAGCATGTTGCCCACCGATGCATCTGTGGCCGGTTGTGATGTTGGGGTGTTTGGTATGTCATGGCCGTCCCTGGTATCTTGATCGGATATAGGGGAGTTTGGGTCTCCGTCGCCATCTTGGTCGCTGTAATGCACCATTTTTAGGTGCGAGTGTAAGGTTTTTTGTTTTAGCTTCTTACTTGATTTTGTAGCCATATTCTTCCCCTGCGACTCGGGCGGTTTGCGGTCGTGCTGGTGTGCCTTTCAAGCTGTGAAACACGCTGTTCAGCCCTCGGTATGGCGGAGCTCACTTTCTATGCGACTGCTTCCATGCGGTGTTCGGCCACGCCCCCCCGATCTGTCAGATTTTTACCTATTTTGTACAAAAAAACAGGGGTCACATGCCACCTAAATAATATCTTAAACATCTGTTCCTGCGAGATTACACAAATCGATATTTTAGATGCTGTTTCCCAGATATCTATCCAAGGTTTTCTAAGATGAGCTGTGTCAGGAATCCAGCCACAGGCTTTTCCGGCCTACCACCTTCTTTCTTCAATCCATCGCTGTGGATGGTGTCCAAGTGTCTCACAAACCGTAAGTCGACCTACCCGTTATGCCAGGCATCAGTCCCACGGCACCATGCACGGGTAAGGTCCTCACTTTATTGCTTCATTTTGTCTAAGTCTGTTCTAAAACCATTGCATGTTTATGCATATCATTCGTTTAAACTCACTTGTTTATATCTGTCTCTGGCTCATTTCGAGCATACGGGAACACATTCTGTTTCAATTGCCTAAACATACTAGGCAATTCTGTGCGTGCATTTCGAATCTCACTGCTCGTTTCATTTTGTTTCCCTGACATACCAGGCTCACGGTTCATGCAATT